TCAAGATCATTTCATCTCTACCATTACAGTCGTCGTCGTCATTATCAACATCCTCATCAACAGATGCAGCAGCAGCAGCAATAGCATCATCATCTTCATCATCTTCATCATCACCACCATCATCGCCGCCACCACCACTGCCAGGATCATCATCATCATCATCATAAAGACCACCTTAGTTTTTCCAGATCCAGTAGGTCCGACTAACATCAAGCCGTGCCTGACGATCGTCGTCTCGTACAACTGGATGCACTTGTTTACGAAGCCTGTACGATGGAATGAATGAATGAATGAGTGGATGAATGAGTGAGTGAATGATTAAATGATTGAATGAGTGAGGAATGAGTGAGTGAATGATTGAATGATTAAATGAGTGAGGAATGAGTGAGTGAATGAGTGAGTGAATGATTGAATGAGTGAGGAATGAGTGAGTGAATGATTGAATGAGTGAGGAATGAGTGAGTGAATGAGTGAGTGAATGATTGAATGAGTGAGTGAATGATTGAATGAGTGAGTGAATGATTGAATGAGTGAGTGAATGAATGGATAAATAAACGAGTAAATGACGCCATTCATCGCCACCATCATCATCATCATCATCATCGTCGTCGTCATCATCATCATCATCTGAGTGAATGAGAAAAGTTACTATTACAGTCATCATCATCATTAATCATGTGCGAGTAGCTGAACGAGTGAGATAAATGAATGAAATAATAATAATAATAATTATTAATAATAATAAATAATAATAATAATTAATAATAATAATTAATAATAATTATAATAATAATAATCATCATCAATATAATAACCGTTAACAGGTTCAAGACCCTTCTTAACACAGACTTCGTTCAGTCGTTCGAGAAATACCCCGTATTCAATAGGCTGCTCTCTTGAAAATATTATCATTATCATTATTATTATTATCATTATTATTATTATTATTTCATAACTATCTAATCATCGCTGTACTTCTTATTTTTTTTAAATGAAGGGCTGACTATGATGATTATGATTTTTCTTTAATCATGACTATGTCTCTATTAATTAATTAATTAATTATTGATTTTACGCATTTGATGGAAGATAAATTCCCATTATTATTATTATTATTATTATTATTATCATTATTATTATTATTATTATTATTATTATTATTATTATTATTATTATTATTATTATTATTATGTTATTATCATCATCTTCATCATCTTCGTCGTCATCATCACCGTTGTCATCCTTACTCGATGCTAGGGAAGAGATCGGACACGATGCTCTTGAAGAGGGTGAGGTCTTCCAGGAGAAACTTGGGATTGTTGACGTCACGGATGGCGCGCAGCGCTATGAGATCCTGATAACGATGATGATTGTGGTGATGATGTTGATGATGAGGTGGTGGTGATGATGATGAGGTGGTGATGATGACGATGAAATGGTGATGATGATTCTGATGGTCGTCGTTATGTGGTGATGATGATGGTGATGATGATTATGGTGATGAATGAATGAATGAACTGTTGCAAGCGAATAAAGCTTTCTAAGTGTACGTACATCTGCAACCGTGATCACATTCGTCATCATCATCTTTCATCATCATCATAAACATCACAGACGTCATCATCATCATCATTGTCGTCGTCACCATCATTACAATCATAACCATCACTACCTCGTTCATATCTGGATTTTGCCTTTTAAGGTTTCCAGCCGCAGAGATGACCGACTTGACGGCTCTCATGCCGAAGTCGTAGTGGTCCTACGCAAAACATTTAAAAAGATATTTATTTATTTATTGATTCGTTTATTTCTACTTTCTTTCATTCGTTTACTCTTTCTTTTTTTTGTCGTTTGTTCGCTCGTTCATTCATTCATTTTTCTAATCATTTGTTCCATCCAGCTATCTTCTTTCTTTAAATCATCCATCCATCCATTCATTGATCGGTACGACAGAATTTACACAAAATCACTCACTCCTTCATTTATTCTTTCTACAAATTTTCTTTCACTCACTCAAACTTAGACAGACGGACAAACAGACAGACAGACATACAAACAGACAGACAGACATACAAACAGACAGACAAACATACAAACCGACAGACAGACACACACACAGAAACCTGAGACGACAGTTGTTCAGAAGACAGCTTAAACGTTATAACAATCTTCTTAGCTAAACTCTTGGCCGCGGAAAATCCGTACGAGAAGAGAGATATTTCGGCAATTAGGGCATAATCCGGAACCATCATGGCGACCGGTCGGAAGAGGGCTTTCAGGTTATCCGGAAGTTCAGTCCTTCCGGCATATCCAGGATTCATCGTGATGAAAATTGCGCACGATGCCCGCAGACTTATCTCCACTCCCTCAAACATAAAGTAGTCTAACTGTATGTGTGCGTGTGTGCGTGTATGTGAGTGTGCGTGTATTTTTTAATTTTTATCTGTGTATGTATGTATTTGTTTATCTGTGTATGTATGTATTTGTTTATCTGTGTATGTGTATGTATGTATTTGTTTATCTGTGTATGTGAATGGGTGTTTGTTTTTGCGTATGCATGTGAGTGTGTGTGTGTATACATATGTGAGTACTTCTATTGGAATATGTATATTGTGAATCTATCATGATACATGGATACGCGTGTGGAGACTCAATTTATCAGGCGGATTATTTTCTGAGTGAAAAAAAAGTGAAAATGTGACAAATTAAAGGAACGAGTGAGTGAGTTAATAAATGAATAAAAGCTTAAATGAATGAATGAATGAATGAATGATTGAATGAATGATTGAATGAATGAATGAATGAATGAATGAATGAATGAATGATTGAATGAATGAATGATTGAATGAATGATTGAATGAATGATTGAATGAATGATTGAATGAATGAATGATTGAATGAATGATTGAATGAATGATTGAATGAATGATTGAATGAATGATTGAATGAGTAAATGTCAATAAAAGACAGAAAACACACGTGAGTCGCGTTAAAATATAAAAAGTGAGAAACACACTTTTATGTATATCTACATTATTTTACCACGGCCATTTTATCAGGCGATGATGAAGAAAATGATGTTGATGATGATGATGATGGTGGTGATGATGACGACGACGATGATGATGAGTATGGCGTTAACGCCTTCAGACCGTCTAAAATAACTCTGACGTAATTTTGAATGAGTGAAGATGATGACGACGATGATGAATCTAAACTTTCAAGACAGACCCAAAATCCATTTCTTCATATTTGAAGTGCATTAATTCGGTAAAGGCTTGTTATGGGTGCATACATACGTACATACAAATACATACCCACACACCCACACACACACGCACACACAAACAAACACACATACAAACGCACACACACAAACAAACACACACACACACGTACACACGCACACGTGTGTGTGTGTAAACGAAAAAAAAGTCAACGAAGTCAACAAAAATTGCAACTATAACAATCACGAATAAATAAAACAACTCACATACACACTTATAACTCATTGGCTAACTAATTAAAATTATAGAAAAACAAAGGAAAAACCAACTAACTAACAATAATAACAAATAAGAATAATAAATAATAAGAATAATAATTAATAATAATAATAATTAATAATAATAATAATAATAATATTATTAATAATAATAATAACCTTTTGTTGCTGTGCAGTTTGTATTGTTGTTATTTGCTGAGCAACAACGGATAGAACCTCAACGTCAATTCTATTGAATTCGTCGAAGCAGGCCCAAGCTCCAGAACTTAATAATAATAATAAAATAATAATAATAATACAGCTGCTAGAAACGCAGCTTCTTTTACTACTGCTACTATTACTCTAAAACACAACTACTACTACTGCTACCGCTGGTACTACTACTACTACTACTAATAATACTAATACTACCATACTACTGCTACTATTACTACTACTACTACTACTACTATTATAAATAATACTTCTATAAATAATGATAATAATTTCAAACGAAAATCATAGAAAATAAAATATGAAGCGTCTAAAAAAATTTTTTTATAAAGGATGAACGAATGAACAACCAAAGTTGAAATAAAATTATGAAGGTTAAACACAAATATACAAGCTAACAAAACAAAGTTAACTAATACATACATACATACATACATCCATACATAAATACATACATACATACATACATACATACATACATACATACATACATACATACATACATACATGTATATATAAAACAAACAAACAAATATACTTAACATACAAACATACAAATAAAAAAAACATACAGACATACAAATACAGGCGTACAAATAATATACAAAACGAAACAACGTCTGTCTTTGTAAAACCGAAACGAATTTATCATCAACACGTAGCATCTTCGTCGTCATCACCACCATCTTCATCATCATCTTCCTCACTATCATCATCATTATCGTCATCATCGTAAAAAAATGTACCTGGCTAAGCCCTTGAAAAACTTGCCCATAGCCATAAAATCTAATTGGTCAGAGCAGTTGAAGACTACGCATTGGATGGCCATTGCTTTAGCTAAGTCCTATTCACGTATGTGTGTGTGTGTGCATGTGTGTGTGTGCATGTGTGTGTATGAATGGGAATTCCTAATTTTTTATAAATAACTATAGGTTCTTTTCACTTAACCTTGGTAGTTTCAGTTTTGCCCGTGCCAGCCGGCCCAGCCGGAGCGCCCCCAAATCTAAAAATAGAAATGATGACGATGATGATGATGGCGATAATAATGATGATGGCGATGATGATGATAATGAATCACTAACTTGAGATGTAGGGCGCCGGTTAAGGTCAGATAGCATCGGTCTGTCAAAGGGGTGATCACTAATCTTCCTGGAGTTTTTAAATGTCAAGGTCATCCTCATCTTTTTAATGTCAAGGTCATTCTCATCTTTTAAATGTCAAGGTCATCACCATTTTCATCATCTTCATCATCATCATCATCATTGTTTTTACAGCATCGTCGTCATTCCTCTTTCAATTCGACACCATCATCACAGCAGTATTTACTATCGTTGTTGTCATCATCTTCATCGTCATAACAATCATAATATAAATACGAAATACAAATATAATAATAATAATATTATTATTATTATGTCATATTAATAATAATATTATTATTATGTCATAATATAATATAATATAATTTTATATTTATGTGTAACTGACCAGAGTTGCCGAGGTACTCAAAACCGTAAGGGAACTCAGCGTTGACGGCACGAATGAAGAAATCATCATTCATCCAATAATATCTTTCGTGCGAGAGGAAAATTAATGATACCATTCATCCATCCATCCATCCATCCATCCATCCATCCATCCATCCATCCATCCATCCATCCATCCATCCATCCATCCATCCATCCATCCATCCATCCATCCATCCATCCATCCATCCATTCAAACCTCAGCTGACTAATCCACTCAAAGTCATTGACGTTTTTTACAAGTTGATCTGCCATGTTCGAGACGACGTCCCTGGCATGCACCTCAATGACAATGAGGGCCGAAAGGATCTCCCGCGACATTTTCGTCAGTATCCCAAAGCTTACAAGCCTCCTCAAGCCGTCCAACTATAATTATTATTACTATAATAATTATAATAACTATAATAATTATTTTTTTAATTACTATAATTATTATTATTACTATAGTTCTTATTATTAATATAAGTTTGTTTTCGAGAATCTGATTTATTTACCTAAAATAGAAATTCAAGGAATACTTAAGCATAGATAATTATATGAAATATAATTTACATCACCCCCCTTCTTCAAATCACTTTTTTATGGTACGTAAAGTGACAATTTAATGATGCAAAAAAAAGTTTGATTCTTTCTTCTTCTTTCCAACTCTTATTTTGTCCATTTCACTTCGATTGAGTTTACTCCAATTCTGGACATAGACCCGACTTTAGATTCGTATTCTTGACGATTTTTGTCAACTCTCTTCAGGTTTATTTCAATTTTCATCATTTCTGCTTTGTCATCAGATTGGTGGTCATGTATCATGTATATTAATTTCTCTTTTTGACGAGTAAAAATTCTTGTTTCTACATTCATTTGATGTTTTCAAGATTCATTTTCAAATCCAATCAGTATAGGTTTTGCTTTTTGTTAAGTTTCTCTAAAATAAATATCTTTTCAACCTCTTGCAGTTTACCATTATCATTTAGATTTAGCTTAGTTTCTAATTCTTTAATTTTTTCATTTAGAAAATTCATCTCATTCTAATCTATCTCCATTTTTATAATCATTAATTTTTTCTTCCGATGGAATATTAAAAATTTGTCATCATCGTCATCCTCCCTATAAACATCATCATCGCCATAACCTGTGCCAAAAGTTTCTCAAGGTAGGAGTTGAGAGTTCCACTGCTGATGGCTTCAGTGACCTGAGCTGACCAGTATGCTTGTGCCCCGGCTATCACCAGCTGCCCCGGCCACTTCAGCACCCACTCGTCACGTGGTGTCTACTCGTTTGTAGTCGTGATGATGATGACGATGATGATAATGATGTTGATGTTGGTGGTGATTATGATGGTAATAGGGATGATAATGATGATGATGGTGGTGAGGATTATGGTGGTGAGGATGGTGATGATTTTCCGATGGCAATGATGATATGAGGGTTAGTAACTCTAACGAAGCCAATAAAAAGTTTTAGCTCCCCCATTACATCATCATCATAACCTCGATATAATCATCAAGAGCATCTTTGAGAAGTTGCTTCAGTGACTTTCTCATCGCCTCCTCCAGCTTCAGCATCCAGTTCTCGACATTTCCTTCCGGTTTGAAGCACTCTTTTCTAAACGGGACTATCTCGCCGTCACCTGATATCATCTCCATGATGGACTTGTCTGGTCCAAACGTCACCTGGATTATCAGGGCGATGGTGTCGATACACACACGCACACACACGCACACACACACGCGCACACACACGCGCACACACACACACACGTACATACTTTAGAAATATTCTCGAAGCATTTTTTCAGATGCGGTTGAACGGCCATCGGGTCTGTCGTCTGAGACAGAATCTCTAACAACTCATCGTCGGAAAGAAAGTAAAACCTGCCAAAACGAACATCACAATCACCACCACCCCACCGCCATCATCACCACCACCGCTATTACCACCACGACAACTACCACCACCACATCATCATTATCATCACCACCTTGGAAACACCATCCTCTTAGTTTCCAAATAATCGCTGAGCCCCTTCTCAACTTGTTCCAGGAAGTGATGGCACTCCGTCAGGCTCATCAACAGCGAGAGGTTACCGCATATGGAGATGACCTTTTAAGAGTAAGGGGTTAAAGGTCAATTTTAAATCTCAACGTCAAAGTTGTTTTCAAGTTTAAAATTCATTCGTTTATTTTTTTATTTTTATTATTAATAATAATAGCAATGACAAAACCCTTGGGTCTTCAACGGCCATCTTGATAATCTTCCTCCAAGATCTGTCGACAGTTTGGAAGCGTTTGCTCTCCACCGGAAGCTGCCTGACGATGTCCTCCGAGCTGAAAATCGGCTCCAAGTAAAGCCACTGCTTCTGAACCGTCAGCCACATGTCTAGCACTTCCTAAGAGGAAGAATATTGTCTCTCTCTTGTTGCCATTGTAGTTTTTTTTGCAGCTGCTGTTACACATACACGCACGCAAACACGCACACACACACACACACACACACACACACACACACACACACACACACACACACACACATAGACAGACATGCTTGATAGTTGTGGCTGATCAGCTGCGGTAGGTTCAATCCCTATCGAGCAATATAATACTAATTGCTAACTGTTGTTCAATTGTTAAAGTGCCAAAATCTATTCATCATTCGGCCTAGTTCGTCAATTAATTACCGAAATTGATTCATTATTTGGTTTAATTAATTAATTTGTCGATTAATTAATTGGTACAGTTGTTGGTGTTGTGTTCGATTCCTGACCTTTGTCAATACTGTTGTTCTATCAACAATCTATTAATGATTGTTCAAAAATAATTCTCATTTCGACTCGTTTCAATTAATTTTGACAAATTTCAACTTGAATTCAAGCGAATTTCAAGCTAATTTTTCACGATGAATTTTTCCCCACGATAAATTTTCCGAACACCCAAACAAACATTCTCTCATACACACAAACACTCACATACATAGGCACGCGCACCGACAGACAGACAGACAGCCAGGCAGACAGACAGAGAGACAACCAGACAGACACATACTTGACAAGTAGTCAGTCTAGACTCCCACTTCTGAATTCGTTCTTCAAAGGTCTGCTTAAATTGACTGAAAGACAGACTCTGAGTGGTGGAAATGTGGTCGTCCAACATTTGGCTGATGTCGTCCGATATCTTTCGGATGGAAAAAATCATAACAACAATAATAATAATAATAAATAATAATAATAATACCTTAATGATGAATGTCCCGGTCTGTTTGTATGACAGGATCTCGAAATTAACGTTCTCCCAATCGCTAGACATCTTGTCCAGTATCTAGGACGCAGTTATTATTATTGTTGTTATTATTATTGTTGTTATTATTGTTGTTATTATTATTGTTGTTTTTGTTGTTGTTGTTGTTTTTATTATTTATTGTTATTTTCGTCACGCACGCGAATTAAATTCATACTGAAACGCTGACGCACTGCAAACAAACTGTTGTAAAAAAAACTTACATAGGAAAAGGCGGAAGACAAACATTCAGTCAAAGAGAAAGAGAGAGATAAAAAAGAGAGAGAAACTGAAAAAGAGAGGAACTGATAAAGAGACAGATTGAGAAAGAAAAAGAGACTAAGAAACACATTATACACACAACAGAAAAAAAAGAGAAAGAAAGAGAGAGAAAAGATAAAGAAAGTAAGAAAGAAAGAAAGACAGACAGACAGACAGACAGACAGAGAGTTACTTTTTCAATGCTGTACTCCTTGCTAGCGATCTCGGCAACCTTCTCAATGGCCTCAACGTGGTCTTGAAGTTTCATGTCCAGGCACTTGGCAAAGGTTATATCCGACTTGGTGTTCAAAGTGAAACCGAGTTCGTCTGTCAACTGTTCGTGATGATGACGATGACGACGATGATGATGACGACGAGGACAATGATGATGCCGATGATGTAATAATGATGATGAGGAGGGTAGTGATGATAATGATGGTGGGTGATACGAATTTGGGATTTTTTTTATTCGCTTTTGTTTTATCATTCATTTATTTATTCAATTAATCAATCAATTAGTCATCTATTCAATCAATCAACCAATCAGCCAACTAACCAACCAACCAATCAATAAACTAACCAGCCAACCAACCAGCCAACCAATCAGCCAGCCAACCAACCGACTGACCAACTCCCAGTGCCTCTGTTTCATCCCAGGGTTTCTCAGTCCTTGTATGAGGGCAACGTGGGGTCTGAAGTTCTCGATCATCTCCTTCATCGCCGATGCTACAGTTTCAATTCCTAGTCGGTTAGTTGATCGGTCAGTTGATGGGTTGGTTGGATGAATGATTGAGTAAATAAATGAATGGATGAATGAATGAATTATTGATTGAATAATAAACTAGGAAATGAATGAATGAATTATTGATTGAGATGATAAACTAGCAAATTATGTGAATAATGCTTTGTAATTTGGCATTTTTACAGTGTAAAAACCAACCAACCAGCCAGTTAATCAACCAATCAACCAGCCAACCAATCAACCAACTAACCAATTAACCAACCAATTAACCAACTAATCAACCAGCCAACCAACCGGGAACATCTGAAAACATTCTATAGCACTTGTGCATGATCTTGTAAGAGTCATTGACGTTTTTCTCAATGAAATCCGGATCTAGAGATTGTAACGGATCGTTCATCCAGCTATCGTACCATCTCAACCAATCAGAAGTCGTCACCCAGAGCAGCCGATACTGTTCGAAATCCTTTATAAGGCTGTTAACTTTCTCGTACTGTTGAATCGAGTTGAATTGAATTGAATTAATTTAAATAAAATCAATTTAAATTAATTTAAATTAAATTAATTTAAGTTCTATTTAAATTAATTTAAATTAAATTAAATTAATTTAAGTTGAACTAATTTAAATTAATTTAAATTTAATTAATTTAAGTTAAATTAGCGACGAAATCACTAATTATTGAAGGGGAGAAATATTTAGAGAATGACCGATGTGATTGGCATGTTGAATAGTTTTTCTCTGCTGTTGTATTTGGCTGAGTCCGCTTGGGCCTCCTTCAACTCCTTGTACAGCCTTCTGCACTGATTTGCATATTCATGAGCCTTGCCTATGTCCACCAGGCCCGGTATGTTGGCCACGTGCATCTAATTAATATTCATGAGTGGTGGTGATGGGGGGAGGAGTTGGCGTTTTGAATGATTAAGAGATTAGTTAATGATTAGTTAATATTCGTGAAGGGGTGATGTTGAAAATATTGAAAATATATCGAGGAAACACTGATTTTATAGTAAAAAGAGAAACAAAGCAATTAATTAATTAATTAATTAATTCATTCATTCATTCATTCATTCATTTATCCATCCATCCATTTAGACATTCATCTCGTCAATCAATCATTCGCCAGGCAACCAGCCACCCAACCAACTGACCGACAGAAGGTCGATGCGATCGCTGAAGTGAATCTGATCTGCCACCTGCAACTTCTTGTACTTTTCCTCGTCGTCGCTCAGTGATTGAAGGGCGTACTCTATCTGCAAGTTGATCTTGTGCGGCCAGCCAACCGTATTCCACCTTCAGTGCAATGGCGGTTTGTGATTGGTCGTTAAAAATTCTATCGGCTTGTGATTGGTTGATGGCGATGTAATAATCAACGAAGGTGTCATCAATTAACAAATTAATTAATTAGATATCATTAATTAGATATAATTAATTAATTAATTAGATATAATTAATTAATTAATTGATTAATTGGCAATCAAAAAAAATTAAAAACAAACTTGATGGCAAAATCTTCATTGGATAAGTTGTAATTAAAGCCTTCAATTAAATCGTAATCTTCCATTGCTTTGCTGGCCACACCCTTATTATTATTATTATTATCATTATTATTATTTATATTAATATTATTAGTTGTAATTTTAATAATAGTCGCTGTAGTAGCAATAGAAGCTGCGGCAGCAGCAGTTTTAGTAGTAGTAGTAGCAGCAGCAGCAGCAGCAGCAGCAGTAGTAGTAATAGTAGTTATAGTAGAAGTAGTAGTAGTATACTTATCATCACCATGTATTCCTCTAGTTTCATGGGAATGGTCCGTATCCAATCTCTTTTCTCAACCACTTCCTCAATGCAGTTCGGCCTCTCGAACAGTTTCCTACTTATCATTTTGTACTCTTCACAGGCCTGTGTTTGTTTGTGTGTGTGTTTGTTTGTGTATGTGTTTGTGTGCGTGTGTGTGTGCTTACGTGTGTGCGTGCGTGTGTGTGTGAGTAAATGAGTATGTATGTTTGAAACGTCACGAAAGAATTATAGTGATTACACTGGACGTGCCATCCATGGAAATTATACACCCACGCACAGACACACACACACACACACACACACACACAGACACACACACACACACAGACACACACACACACACACACACACACAGACACACACACACACACACGTACGTCTTCGGCTTGTTTCCGCAGCATCTTGGCCAGTAGATCAAGGACCGCTTGGCTTATTAATTTCACCTTTTTGACGATCCTCTGTCGCAGATTATCTACACTCAAGTGGAACATACCTGAATATTTTATCATTATTATTATTTATAATTATTAATATTATTTGTTAATAATAAATAATAATAAAAAATAATAATAATTATAATAATAATGGTAATGGTAAAGTGACCTATTACGATTGAGTTCGGCAGGCGCGCTTTGATAATGTCTTGCATCTCTTCATACATCTCGATCTTATTTTTCAACTCCAGAGGCGGTGTGCCTTTGTTCTCTAGCTCTCTGGGAATGAATGAATGAATGAATGAAGGAATGGGTGAGTAAGTGAGTGAATGAATGAGTGAATGAATGACAGATTGAAAAAATCAATGTGTTATAAGCGATTGAATTGACTACTGAACTTACAAAATAATGAAATAACAAAAAAATGAACGAACGAACGAATGAACGAACGAACAAACAAACAAACAAACGAATGAATGAATGAAAGAACGAACGAACCAACAAACGAACGAACGAATGAATGAATAAATGAATGAATGAATAAAAGAAGGAAATACTTGAGAAATGCATTTGCATCCAGCTGAATGATAGGAATGTACTGTTCGTATTGAGTAGCATAGGAGTTCATCGGGATCAACGATTTCATCACAACTACAGTCAATATCTGAGATGAATGAATGAATGAATGGATGAATGAATGAATGAATGAATGAACGAATGAATGAACGAACGAATGAAACAATCAAAACAAACCTTTCGAAGTTCCTCAATGGCGGGCTCATACATCCCAACGGCCTCTAGGTACGTTGAATCAGGGAATAAAATATCCTCCAAGACCAACTACAACAACAATAATAATAACAATTATTATTATAATTATATTTATAATTATTATAATAATAATAAATATATAATTATGGTAATAATAACATGACCTTTTCTAGCTGCGGTATATTTTGAACAGACTGGATGCCTTTGTTGAAGAGGTTCACGAATACCATCGGGATCTATTGGTGATGACAACGAAGACAACGACGATGGCATAAATTATGATAATGAGATGGGGGTGATGAAATAAATTATGATAATGAGATGGTGATGATGAATAAAATTATGACGATGAGATGGTGATGAGGAAATAAATTATGATAATGAGATGGAGATGATGACGACGACGAAGATGACGGTGGGTACGATTTGATTACGATGACGGTGAGGATGACATAAATTATGATAATGAGACGGTGATGATGATGACGACGACGATGACGTCACCTGATTGATTGGATAGGAGAAGACGACTTCGTTGTTTTCGATTCCGATCTCTAAATTTATTAGCGGATTCCGCTTCGGTCTGATAAAAAATAGGGTAAATATATTTGAGAAATTTTTTTCATTCCTCCATTCATTCATTCATTCATTCATCCATTCATTCATCAATTCATTCATTCATTCATCCATTCATTCATTCATTCATTCCTCCATTCATTCATTCATTCATTCATTCATCCATTCATTCATTCATTCCTCCATTCATTCATTCATTTATTCATTCATTCATTCATTCATTCATTCATTCATTCATTCATTCATTCATCCATTCACTTAAATCATTTTACTGCTTACTAAAATGACCACTCAGGTGCATTGTTGAATAACAGGAGTCCATTCTTTCATTCATTCATCATTCAATAATTCATTCATTCATTTACTCAATTAAACTTCTTGGTGTTATTATTTCGAAAAATTTATCGTGGTTTGAATATATTCAATATATTTTCAAAAGAAATTCTGTTTCATAAATTCTGTTATTTCTCCTTCAGTACCTTTATGGGACTCGTTACCAAGAGAAGGGACAAATTTGCCTTCGCCTAGTTTTTTCAATAAATTTGTCTATAAGTTAATTTTGAACTATCATTTTCAATTTTTTACTATTTAACAATTGCAGTTTATGTTTTTTATTGAGTTTTTATGATTCGTTTTGTTCAATCTGCGATTCGTCACGTTAATTACATCAAGTTTTCCATTCGTTCATGCATTATCTTGATAGTGTGGCCCAACAAGTTAAAACTTCGACTCTCCCCGCTAATTTATTTTACTGAATAAAAGATGTTTTTTTCTTGAATTGAATTGATTGATTTATGCAGGCATCAATTCATTCAAACACTGACTTGAACGGGCTGGTCAGCAGGTCACCTTCCCATCTGAAGTCCTCGCTGAGATGCATGGTTGAGTGGCAGGCATCCAGGACCATCTGCACAAAACTGGACAGTGAATCCTGGACTAAATACCTCAGAGCGTCCTGATGACGATGATGACGGCGGTGATGATGATGATGAGGATGGTAATGATGATGATGAAGAGAAGGAGGAGGATGAGGGTGATGGCGATCATGGTGGCTATGATTAAAAATATTCAACACCAACATCATCGTCATCATCATCCTCATCAGCAACAGCGGCCGGCAACAAGATCATCACCACCATCATCATCACCATCTTCAAAATGTGATGACATCATCATATAATCATCATCATCATCATCGTCGTCGTCGTCGTCACCATCAGCACCACTGTCATCGGTGTCACTACCTGCATGTAGAACTTAATCACGTCCATGAACCTCTTCATCTTCGATATCTGGTACACGGTCCAGTTCTTCTCGTACAAATTGAACCAACCTTTGCCTAGAAATAACAATAATAATAATAACGATGGTGACAATTATGATGATAACGATGAGGAGGAGGAGGAGGAGGAGGAGGAGGAGGAGGAGGAGGAGGAGGAGGAGGAGGAGGAGGAGGAGGAGGAGAGAAATGATGATGACGTCATCACTTCACTAATGATGACACGTCATGAACTGACCTAGATCTCTCAGTGAAGTCCTGATGGCTACTCTCAATGTTGCTATCCAACTGTCCCTCATAAACAATGAAACCTGTGTGCGTGTGTGTGCGTGAGTGAGTAAAAGAGAGAGAAAGAAAAAGAGAAAGAAAGAGAGAGAGAAAGAGAGAGAGAGAAAGAAAAAAGAAGTGCAGGTGTGAGAGAGAGTGTGCGTGTGAGAGAGGAAGAGAAAGTGTTTGTGTGTGTGTTTGTGTGTGTGTGTGCGTGTGTGTACGTGTGCGTGTGAACCTGTGCTGTGGCCTGCGATTGAATCTGCTCAAATTCTTCGACCTTCGCCGACTTCAAGGTCGTCGAGTTGAACAAGGACATGGAGGTCACCCTCTGACATTCAGTGCGCACCTAATTAACATAAATTAACATAATAGATTAGCATCGATCAGCGTAAATTAACGATTAGTTAATGCAGTTGGTTGTCACAAATTAAGTAAAATATAAATTAAATTGTCGTTTTTAAAGAGTCGTATTAGGTAATAACAACAATAAGCAAACAACGAAAAACAGTAAAAATAAAAATAATAACAATAAAAATAATAATGATAATAATAATAATAATGATAATAATAATAATAATGATAATAAATCTACTTTGGTGATAGCCTGACTGATCTCCGGCTTAATGAGCAGAGTGTGGAAGACGAAGGATTTGAAGTACTGCTCAAAGGGATACGACGGAATATCCGATATACATCCTGAATACGATATCATCGTCGTCGTCATCATCATCGTCGTCGTCGTCATCATCACTATAGTTATCTAATAAACGAAAGAATGAATGGACGAACGAATGAAATGAATGAATGAAGGAGGAAGCCCTCAAAAGAATGAAATTTTATAAATAGAAATTTTGTAAATAAACGAACGAATAATAAATAAATAAATAATTGACCATCCTTACCATGACCACCCTAGCACCATTCTATCATTACCATCATCATCATCATCATCATCATCATCATCATCATCATCATCATCATCACCACCACCAACCTTTAACTTTCCATTTCTCCGGAATGCAATCGGGAAGGGTGACGAATGCGAACTCGCTGGGATTGTCATAGACGATCCTGTTGAAGGCTATCTTGTTCATCGTCCTACTGAACTCCATTCTCAATTCCGTTGTCAATGTGAACAGCAATTCCTCCATAGAACTTGTGTGTGTGTGTGCGTGTGTGTGTGTGTGTGTGTTTCTGTGTGTGTGTGTGTGTGTGTGTGTGTGTGTGTGTGTACATCATTTATTCATTCATTCATTCGTTCGTTCACACTCTAAGTTCAGGGTGGTTAGTGAGGATGCGAAATTTTTCAATTGAACTGCACGTGTGTTTGTTGGTGTGCGTGTTGTTCATTCATTCCTTTATTTATTCATTCATTTCTTCACTCACTCCCTATCCTTGACATTCAATCCTTTCTTAGTTAACTCAACAATCCTCCTCACGACAGCCGGATCTATCTCTCCAACTCTGTCCAATGGCATGCAGTCTACGTACAACTCGTACCTAATTGGTTGGGTTTTTTTTATAAAATCTCAATTAACCAATCAATTATACTATTCATAACACACACACAGACACACACAGGCACACACACACATACATACACGCCCACACACACACACACACGCACACACGCACACAGACACACACGCACACATACATACACACCCACACACGCACACACAGAGTGCATGTGTCAGGCAGTGATCTCCTTGCATTCAAACCTGGTCACTGCAGCAACAGCAGCAGGAGGACCAAGTATCTTAACCATTACACCAGCCATTCAACTAACTACCTCAGCAAACTTTCTGTCTTCCTGCGACTGTTGCAAGCATCGGCCACCCTCCTTGCAAAAATTTCAGGGTCCTCTGCTCTGAACATCAGTTGGATACGTGGCACCCAGTACTGGCTGATCAGCAGAGGTTCGTTCTTAAATCCTTTGGTTTGTTTTTTGAGAAAGATGAGTGAGTGTGGAGTGAGTGAGTGAGTGTATTAAAAGATAGATAACAAAGAAAGTGTATGAATTGAAAAATTATTACAAAATCAATAAATGAGAACACAAATTAAATTACAAATAAATGAAAGAACGAACGAATTAATAAATAAGTGAAAAAAAAAATGAATGTGCGAAAGAATGACCAAAAAATAAATAAATATTTATAAAACTTAAATTATATTAACACCCCTTCTACTATACCGTTAAATACGACCACTGCTGGCAAACGAAATCTTACAATTTAAAAAATTGAACCCGAACTCAGCCCACTAACTCGTGAAGACATCCGGCCCCATGATGGTTGGCTTGCCCTCGTGGTTCAGAACCCTACCGTTGCAGTCTACCTTCTGTACCAGGTACCTTCTGGTGTATGGGTCGTAGTTTAGCATACCTACGTCCACCCATTTGTATTCTATGTATGGTGTCCTTGGATCTACTGTATAGGTTTGTTTGTTTGTGTTTTTGTATGCTTGTTTGTATATGTGAGTGTATGTTTTTTTTGAAGTGTGCGTACGTACGCATATGTTTGTCGCAGACGTGTGTTTTGTTAGCGTGATTTTGTCTCAAGATCGGGTTTCACGAAAATGAAATAAACTTTAAAACACTTTATTTATTAGTCCAAATTCAACAATTACAATACTCATTAATTAATTAATAAATTACTTAAATAATTAATTGATTGGCAAATTAATTAACCCAAGCAACCAGCATTTACAGCAGCCCAACTAACAATCTCTATGCTCATCCAAAACCGGTAACAAAGCCAACCCAGGAACCGGTTTATAAATCTCGGTATCGAATCGACCCAACGCTATCCACTCAATCGGATTCCGACAGTCGTATTCGGTGTCGTCGAAGAGTTCTAAATTTAGAAAAGCCGGAAACGGAGCTGGATCGTTCTGATCGTAGTTGAGGATTATTTTGGGTTTTTCCCCGCTCTCTTCCAATTCTTCATGCTTTGGCATCAGTAGGTTGGTGTCGATGTTTAGTCTACGCAACAAGGTCTCCAGGTCTAGCGAGGCAAATTGCTTCTTGCGTCTGTCTCAATGGAAAGTTTAAATAAAAATTTCAAAATGAATTGCTTGAAAATTAATTAATTAATTAATTAGCTATGATAAGATATAATTAGTCATTATTAAATAATAGTTAATTATTGGTTGGTTAAATGAAAGCGTTTAATTTATATCAATTACTTTAAAAAGTTGTCCAAAATGATTGTCAATCGTGGATGGAAAATTAATTAATTAAATGAGTGAGTGAGTGAATGAATGAATGAATGAATGAATGAATGAATGAATGAATGAATGAATGAATGAATGAATGAACAAACGAATGATTGAGACTATTCATTCATTTTCATTTAAACTAATTCAACCTCAATATTTCAACTTCTCTCGGACAAGATTTATACAAAACTTTATACGGCAGTTGCACCTTTGGCTCGTAAGAACTATCTAAAAAATCCTGTCACGATAATGATGATGGTGATGACGACGATGATGATAAAGAAGAGGATGAGAAGATGAGAAGATGAGGAAGAAAATGACGATGATGACGTTGATGATGACGTCATCGACAAAAAAAAATTACGCACTGTGTCC